TACATATTAAAACGGAGGGAGTAGATGATATGGTAAGTCTAAATATTATATTTTGTTGGGTTAGATGTAAAACATGTATTTTAATGTGCTTATGTTATAAAATTAATAAGAATATATGAATATGTATGTAGACAAATAGAGATTTCCACCATGACATGTAGTTTTAATTAAAATATTCTAATTGATTAATTTAAATGACATGTTCCTTAAAATCCTTATTAAGTGACACCTATGATTTTTTCACCAAATATCTCCTCAATTAATATATAGAGGATGGTCTATAAGACCATCTCCATCTCCAATGTATATCTCTATTATTATCTATAAAATAGAGAAAATTATAGCGTTTCTCTATTTCTTCTTCAATATATCTCTATTTTAGAGGAATTGCTATAATATAGAGGAAAAAATAGCAATTCCCTACTTTTGCCTCTATATATAGAGGAATACTACAATTTAAATTTTTCTATTTTAGAGATAGAGATAGAGGTGGGTTGGAGTAAATTTTACTATAAAATAGAGTTTAGGAAAAAAATTAGAGATGGGTTGGAGATGCCTTAAGAGAGTATTGTTAACAAAAATAATCCAATCATACTTTTATATGTCATATTTATTAACAGTTTATCTACCATTTATTTAAATACTAAAAATCTCCGATGTGTTTATCTATTTTTTACTCTAAAATAGTGTAAAATATAGCAATTTTCTAATTCTCTAATGTATTTCTCTATTACACAGGAATGTTATTTTTTCCTCTATTTTAGAGAAAGTATGAATAAGAAGAAAAAAAATATCTATTTCTTCCTCTATATTTGGAAATAAAAATAGCAATCTCTATTTTAGAGATGAAAATAGAAGTGGATTGAAGGAAAAATAGAAGAATGCTATATTTTGTTCTATTATAGAAGAAGAAATAGAGGTGGGTTGAAGATGTTCTACATCATTAAAATTTCTTTGTCATATATAGCTTCCTATATATTCTTTTTCTACATGTTCAGATTTATTAATTTATGTAGAAGTCCACCAAATTTTAATTCAGATAAGATGCAATTAGTTTTAAGATTTCGCTTAATCCATGAACAATAAGGATAATGATGTAGATTAGTAATGTTAACGAGACGATGTCATTGATAGTTTCCTACCCAACAACTTATAAGTATGTCTGTATGTGTGATAGTTTTAAAATATCTAATGAAAAGTAGAAAAAATCAAGAGCGTATACAAAAAAGCTTAATCTTTTATGATATCACTAGAAAAAATCAAGAACGGCAAGCGCGG